CATAACATGTATTTGGAATATGGTTGTGCTCAGAATATTTAATGTATAATATTTTCAATATTTAAATTTTTGTATTTCCTAAAGTGAGCTCTCTTGCTGGCCTGGCGATCATGCCATCCTTTCCTAGGTACCTACGGCCGACCCTATCATAAAATCGGTCCGTTCAAGTAGCCCGGCAATGTACTCTGTACACTCCTTACCCTCTCTTTTTACACCTTTTCCATCCTTGTTCAACTACAATAATTTTCCTTAATTTTATCGTTTTTCTCTTTTCCCAAGCGACGCTTTGAAAACCCTGTCGCCATTTTTTCATTCAGTCTTTACCTAAATCTCGTCTGAGCACAACCTCGCTCCGAGAGCAAATAAATTTTTATAATAAATATAACTATTATTGTTTTTAAATAAATAATTTTGTGTTTAATTTCTCAAAGATACCCGGGCGACTAAAATTTTAATAAATAAAACAATTTTCTTATAATAAAATGAGATTAAAAATTTAAATATTCTCTTTTTTAACTAAGAGGGAAAAAAATGAAATATTGATTTTACCTTGAAAGCAAGACGAAACCAAGGATGATCCAGATCTCTTCTTCCTGCGTCTTTTGCGTCTGGCTTCTTCCTGGCGAGCTTGCACCGAACTCATTGACTCTCCAGTTGAAGATACACCATCACCTGAAAAAAATAAATACATTAGTATATTAATTCATTAAAATAATATTTAGTAAATTAAACTTTTTAAAAACAGCAATTTATATTTATTTTTTAATTTATTAATTATAATCATTTTTCTAAATATAATCTTTTTATTTTGTATTAGATTTTCGCATCAAGTACATATATAATTTCTTGTTGAGCGATTGAGGGCACATTACTAAAAAAAAAGTGATGCCTCAGAAAGTTAATTGCAAATGAGAAATAACAAGTTTGTGAAAGTAATTCTTGTTTTAATTTTCTAGTTTTCGCATTTATAAAATTTCGATTTTCAAATTCTAAACTAAAAAGAAATTTTTAATTTAATTTAAACAAAATTTTAATTCTTTTTTTTTAAATATTTCAAGTATTTTTTGAAATATTGCATAAGAATATTTTTGTATTCAAAAACAGTTTTTAAAACTTATTAGTGAAAAAAAAATCGAAAGTTTGTAAAAGATTTGAAAGAAAAACGCAGTAACTTTTTAAAAAAAGTTACACAACATGTTTTGTTTAGATGAAGATTTTCTTATACATATATTGAAGCATGAGCACGTGACTCGTGTGCTTTCGCTATCAACCACTAAAGCCGGTGATGTAACTTATTGTTCACAACTTATCGATAGATATGGTTGTTAAAAGAGGGAAGATTAGTCATTGCTTTTATTGCTATTTAACCTTTTTTTTTATTTCTTTATTGATACCTATCAATTTTTTTTTTAGAAAAACAATCTTTTTAAACATAGGCCAATGTCCGGTTTTATCTGATTTCGTCGCTTAAGAAAATATCTATACAATCTGATAACAATAAAGACGTTCCTGAAGTAAAAAAAAACAATTTTCTTTTTTATTAGGAAACGTTTCTTTGTGAATTAAAAAATTTGTTTTTTTCTTTCACTTAACGTAAAAAAAATTTCATTTTATTTATGACTGACAAAAAATTAAATTAAAAAAAAAAAAAATTTAAAAGAAAAACAAAGAAAGTTAATGGTTGCCAAAGAGAATCAAAGCCATCTAATTGGTATTTGTGTCGACGTCGGTTGGCAACTCGAATGCACCTTAGATACTCATTGCAGACCTTATACACAAATGCATTGTCAGTGTAAATGCATGTATGTGATGAGGCGGGGTTGAAAATCGAAGAGGTCGTATTATCCAAGGTCTCTTAAACCCGCCAAATGGCACGTACGCACAAAACCAGGAATTCAAGGAAATTCAATTTGAAAACTCTTTCCATAAAAAAAATTTACAATTTCAATAAATCTAAACTTAGGACGAAGAACAACTAAAATAAACATCATTCTCCAATTTTTTTTGTTTGGTAAAAAAAATCATCTGTTTAAAATTTTTTTTTTTTTTTTTGAATATTTTTTTCCAAAAGAATCAAATTAGGGAATTAAACAATATTAAAAAAAATGCAATTAATGAATAAAATTTATAAATATTTTCAAAAAAATATCCAAATATGAAAACTAAATTGTGATGTAATTCAAAAGAGTATAGAATGATGTTTGAGTGAATATTTGTTTTCTTGAAAGGCAAAGCATCTGTTTTACATATTGTAAAGCCAGATGGACCGGTCTTACGAAACCGGTTTATTCAAGATGATTTTTTAAAAAACATAACTTTGAAATGAATACATGTAAAAAAAATTAAATAATTAGGGCTGTTATTATAAAAAAATAACAAATTTATAACAATAAAACTTTTCCCTTTTTTTGGTAAAAAAAATTCTGAGATATAAGTGAAAAAGAAAATTAAGTAATTAGGGAATTTGAATTCTATTATTATAAGAAAATAACAAAACAGCAATAAAACTTTTCCGTTTTTCTTAAAAAAAATTATATTCCAAAAATTCTCAGATGGCACAAAAATAACTAACAAATAAAAAATTGACAAAAATAACTATTTACTGTCAGGGTCAAAATTATAAAATTAAAAAAAAAATTACTTCCTCATAGAGAAAGTAATATTTGTCGCTATAATTGAAATTGACATTTTGATTCATAAAAATAAATCAATAAAAAAAAATTTACGATTTACACTCGAACTAGACATTTAATGGAGAAAATTAACCGGAATTTGAAAAAAGAAACGTTTCCTTTGAGTAGTTAGTATATACTTTCACAAGTTTTGTGTGATAAATATGTAAATTTCATATGATTCGGAAATAGATTTTTTTTTCATATGTAAATAAAATATTTGATTTTATAATGACGAAATTTTCTCTAATTGAAAAGAGAATTAAATGACTTTTTTGCATTCTTTTTTTTTACGACGCAGACAAGTCATTGATTTATATACGATAAACCATTATTTAACCATATCTTTGATAAACTATCTGATAAAGATTACACATAATTAATCATTTCTTTTTATCAACTTATCTAAAGACAAGATTATGGATAAAATTTGGGAAAATACACAATTATTTTGGAATATTTCATGACACATTTTAATTATTAAAATTTTTTTTTTATTTTATTTATTATTTTTATTTGTAATATTACGATTTTTTTGGCATATTCTTTTGTTTTACAATTCTTTTGTCATGGGTTTTTTTTCAGCAGTAGCAGTTGAAAGAGAAATCGGTTGATTTTATCATCATGGGGAGTGAATTTACCCCAAAGAATCGTTCTTTGTTACAGCTACCCCAATCAAAATTTGTGTAAGAGGGGAAATAATCAAGGGCAAATATCCAACAAGTATTGGGCAGATGATTCTAGTAATTCTGTTAATTCTCATTCATAAAATAAGTTTCCTGTTGAATCTCACGCAACAATAAAAAAAAATACGTTAGGCACTATTTTTTCGTAAACAAAATGGGTAAAAATATTTTTTTCTTTTATAATAATTCTGTATTGAAAATAAAGGCGAAAGTTTCTCCTATGATATATGTGATACGGAAGAAATTGGAATGTCAAGTGACGGGGAGGGGTCATGGCACATAACAATGCAAAAGAAAACGCTTCTTGGTGACAGTAAGTTGTACATCGAAATTTTTATAACGATTTCGTTGTACATGAACTCCTCTAGTTAGTGATTGTGGGCGTCTCTAATATGGCGTGGGTTAGAGAGAAATCACTTGAAACTTTGCTCGCCTAACTGTTTGTATATATAAACATACATACAGGACGTTCATGCATCGTGGCAGGATCAGCGACTCCTTTCCACTCCCGATCTCACATCTCGATATTTTTTTTTAACTTTACAGATCGATCGTAAATCTTTCAAACGAGAATATATTTTCTATTCAATAAATTGTTCCCACGATCTAACTTTATATGCATTAAGGAACTCTAATTTTTCAGAAACAGTACTTTAATTGAAAGATTTATCACATTGATATAAATGTTGATTTCCTTTATACAAAATGACTATAGTTTTACAAACAATATACTTTACAAAAATATATTTTTTTATAACGAAAAAAAACTGATATTGAGGAAGTTACTAAAACCACGCAGATTTGAATCAAGGTTCAAATTTCAGGAAGCAGGTATAAAGATCCTTTTTCCTAGAAACCAACAAAAACTAAAAATAACTTCATACCAAAAGAAGTGAATAAAAAAAAAATTCAAAAAAAAATCGATCACAATAGATTCATTGAAAATACAAACTACGAAAAATTGTAGCTGCTTTTGGATTTTTCGAACCAAAAAACGTGTCTTTATATATTCAACAGGAAAATTCACAACAAAGCATTGCCAGAAAAATGCGTTACACAGTGTGGTGTGTTTTGAAGGGTGAAGTGGGTTAGTAGTAGTCATCGAAGGGGGAAGTAAAGGGAGAGAAATTTGCCCAGAGTAGGGCAGGAAGAACAAAGGACAAAAGGAAACGCGTCTCTGCGCATGCTTCTAAATTTGTACTATATGGAGAAATTCCCCATAGCTTTCAAGGGATACATCTGCTTTAAAAAAAAAAGGACAAAGAGAACACGAGCCAAAACTTTCCCCCCTTGAAATTTTCAAGAACTTCCATCTCTTTGTCTTATACAGAAAATACCACAAATATATCTTCCAAAAAATATTAGTTTAGAAAATTACCAAAAAATTTTATATTTAACAATTAAGACACTAACCGGAAAATTTTTTTCTAAAAAAAAATTTGAGAAATGTGATTAATTGTAACAAAAAGGTCAAGTTTGAAATGATAATAATTGAAGGTTCAATGAAATCTAGTCAGTCGTGAAATAGATAAAAAAAAAAAATTATTAAGAAAACGTGAATTCCAAAATGACGAGAAATGGGACTTTAAAATTAAATTTACCAATTTTCGCAATGACAATAAATTATCACGTATGCATATCTGGCAAGATGGTGGTGTTCCTTTTCTGTGCCAGTCATTGAACTCTTGTTTGGCCTCAGTTGGTGCCTGCCAGCGAGAATTACACGAAAATACTCTTTTGCTCTATGTAAAATCATGCTAGATGATGAAATATATTACAAACGTGATGTGTGAATTAAATTTGGAAATTTTCTCAATTAAATGTAATAATCAAATTTAATATCAAAGATAAAATTATTTTTTCTTCTTTCGTTTTTTTTTGTCTCTTTTATTTCAATAGTACATATGAGCTACCGGATGTGCAGTATGATCTGACTTTATTCACAAGTGAGAATGTTAAACGGAAATCTATTATCTCTTGAGGAGAATCATCATGGTCGTCTGTCATGTTCATTGCTATAGATAAATTAAATTTATTATTCGCATAAATTTATGGGAAATAGAACTGCTTTTCATGAGCTGAAAATTTGATATGTCTTTGATTTGAGTTACAAAAAATTTAATATTCTGATCATTGAACTCGTTTCAATTCATAAATTACAATCAGTTGAAAATGAGAAAGTTCTGTCATCAGCCACATTACTTTCATCATTCGAAATTATTGATAAAAATATCAGCTAAAAGTTTCATTTTCAAATGATAAGGAAAAAAAATGTTGAAAATGTAAAATAAAATAACTGATTCACCTATATGTTTACAGTAAAATGACTAACTTATTCATGACATTGCATCATTTTGTAAATAACTTGGTAAATTTCAATATACAGATCGTGACCTTAGAAAGAAAACAATTTATCGATTCTAGACAGAATTGAAATAAATAATGTTTTGAAAACTAGCCGGTAATAATATAGGAAAATGGCGACTATCAAAAGTCCTGTTATTACTTTCACAGGTGAAATAATATATCATTGAAAATAAAAGAAAATAAAAATTAATAAACGAATAAGAATAAAACCTCACCTCGACCATTTTCCTGTCGCGAATCCTCGCGTTCTTCCAGAATCTTCTCCACCATTTTTGTTGAAATTTTTCACACGTCACGCGCTCAACAATGAATCAATCGTTCCGAAGTGTTTTCCACTCGTTTTTTAATCGTATGAGGGATCGTTCTTCGACACTAATGCAATCGCACTGATATCAATAATTATAAAAAAGTGTCAGTCGTATATACAAAAAAACGCCTAACTGCTAAAGTTACTGATACCAATCTTCAACCCACTTTGCAAAAAAAGCCGTAGAAAATCTTCTTTTGATGTCGATTAACTCCTCTTCCTTTGTACGATGGGATCAGATCGATGTATATCAGTGGTAGGTATCACAGATATAAATAAATATACAAAGCCTATCTACACTCTGTATGTTCTCTCTTGATCGTAATTAAAAACGATACACATTTCTTCAATCCAATATTGGACTCTTCGACGACTATGATGTCGGCTGCTTTAACTTTATATTTCTCTCTCGAATAAATACTATCACAGACTTTAAAACTGCACACCTTTGACTCAAAAAAATCTCCTTCTTTTTGCCAAAATACGTGAAGGAACTGCAATAAACAAGACAGATTCTCCTTTTTTTTATCTCTTGGAGCCTCCTGGCAAGATCTCTGTGCTGAAAAATGGAGCTCCTCTCTGCATCCAACTGCTGCTCAACCTTGTTTCTTCTTCTCTTTTAGGCTCACCGCGTAGACTATAAAACGGATTTTGATTTTTCTTATGTGGAAAAATCACCCTTGATGGTCGTTTTTCCGTTACTAACTCACAGCCTCTCGCTCGCAGCGGAAATTGGGCTCGGAAGCACATTAAAAATCCTTCGGCTAATACATCTGTCCTGCTTTACGTTCACCGTCCCTCACTGCTCGGCAGCTGGTTTCCGACTAACTTAACAAGATGGCCGACACTCTAGTTACCATCAGTTCCCCCACCACTTCATTGTGTTACTGCTGCGTGTATGTGCAAAAACCGAATGCCGGCTTTGCAACAGTGTTGCCAACTCGCAAAATCAACTTAATGATTACGTGCAAAAATGAACGGACACAATTTTCTAAGTTCGCATGATTAAAAAAAACTTTCCATGCGACTTCTTCTCGTCACATCTATGACATAATTTCCCGTACAAATTTTCCGGAAGAAATGACTTTGTTATATATCAAAAAAATATTTCCACTCATATAGTCAAATTTTCAATTATCAATATATTTGTCGCGACAATATTGTTTGCAGCATTTTTTTAAAATTATAGTTTCAATAAATATAGGTATTGCCAAAATAATGTGTTTGCTCAGTTTAAATTAATTAATTAAAGCAATTGATGAACCAAATTCAAATAATTGTTCGAAATTTAAAGAAGGCTAAAATATATTTTGCAATGAATTATTATTTTATAATTTTGTTATGAAAATTTAAAAATTCTTTAAAATATAAAAAAAAATTCGAACGAAAAATATATATTATTATTTATTTATTTTTTAAATTGTTGGCAACACCGTTTCTTTTCCCCTCTTTAATTTGTTGACGCCTTTTGATGCTACCCACAACGACACGTATTACATATCTATATTCACCTCGGCGTTCGACGTTATGTTGCTTTTGTTTTTTATTTATCCTAGTAAGTTTGCATAGTTTTACTTGCATCGCTTTTATATTATAATATGCATATATGTACAGATATGCGTCGTGACAATGATGCAAATTTCTAAACCGCTGATTTAATACTAAAATGATGCAAACATCTAAAATAATGTTGATCTATTTCATAATGAATTTCCTCCGATATTTTATTTAATTATAATAAAAATAATTATTTTTATTATTTTACATTGACATTAAAATTTTTAACAATTCATAGATTGAAAAAAATATTTTGTTCATTTGAACGTTCAAAACTTTTGTCTCATTTTACTTTTTTAATTATTAATCGCAAATATTACAAGAACTACTAAAATTAGTGTGTAAATTTCTATTTTAAAATTTTGGAAATTTTCTGCCAATTGCACATCTTGGCTCCTGTGACTTGAATAGAAATTCTGTAAATTTGCCATGTGCGTCAATGCACTATTATTTATAAATAAATTGAAGTATCAAAGCAGTATTATACTGTATGTATTGGACAATAAAAACATTTCATTTTATTCAAGTAAACACAATTCGTTAGATTCTATTTGCATACGTGACAATAAAGATAACAAACTTTTAATGTCCGAAAGAAATATAATTTTATGTATGAATTATAAAATGTTATGTATTTTTATATCGTTAAAAAAATGAAAATATAAATTAAAAATATAAATAATATTAAAACCATTATTATTAAATTATTAATATTATTAACAATTTAAATTAAATCATTATTATATTAATTAAATATATAATTTAATAATTATATATAATTAAATTTTGTTAAATTTAACATAAAAAATATTCTTTATGTAACATTTTCCAATAAGGCTTCAAAAAAAAAATTATTTTTAAAATTTATAATTAATTATTTTTCATAATTATTATCTTTTATTGAAAGACCTAATTCTTGGTTAATGCCTCAATGGTCTCACCTCTAAAATTATACTTCAATTGTTTTTGCCAAGTAGATCGATATTTATTCTGGTAAGTCAGTGTTGTTGTAATATATTGAGGAAAAGGACAATGCTCTTAATAATAATAATAATAATAATAAAAATAATTTATTTCAGTATCAAAATCATTTTGATATTGTGAACTTCGAAATAAACTTTGCGTAACAGACTTTTGCGTAAGATAACTGTTTTTGATGTGAATTGTTGTTTAAAATTAAACTGGAAATCATTCACATTATATATATTATATTTTTGGATAAGACTTTGTTAATATGAAAATTTATATTTAGATAGAATTTAATTTATATAAGAGAACTAAAATTATATCAGAGGGAAAAAATTTAAATTAAAAAAAAATTTTAATAACTCACCAGGTGATGTTGTGCATGATTCCCCACTTCCAGATTCAGCACTCACATTATCAATACTCTCGAATCCTTCACAACCCTCCTGTGAAAAAAAAACAGTATAAGTATTTTTTACATAATATTATTTAAAAATAATACTGAATTATATAATATTTAAAAAAATTAAAGGAAGTTCAATAAAAGAAAAAATTTAATAAAAGTGGCTTTTGCGCTTTATGGACAGAAAAAAAATGAAGATTGTTTTTCACAATTGTCTAATCAAAATGACGTTTTGATTACGGGTCATTGAGTTCGTTTGGATTTGTTCTACATAGTATTATGTAAATCAAAATGTAGAGGTTTATTTATAAGTAAAGAGACCTTCACACCAAAATATATAGTTTGTATGTTCGTACAATTGGCGTACAAATTGCATATAATGATGTGTCTCACATGAACACATTTGATGCGCATATATATATATGTAAAAAATCTACACAGATATTATAAGGACATTGTAAAATAAAACTGACCTTCATAACACATAGTTCTATCACCTAGACTATAAATTAAATGATTATTAAATTGTTTGTTAGTAGAAAATTTTTGTACTCAATTTTTGAATTCTTTTTTTAATATTCAATTTAACATAATTTTTGTAAAAAAAATTTTAATTTATATTTTTTATTTTAAAAATATTTCTTTTTCAAATCATGCTGATTGATATGAATCAGTCTAGACAAATAAGAAAGATGATGATAATCTTAACAATAAATTTTTATTTTTTTGAAACATGATAAAATTTCTAATCAACTACATATCGACCTATTTTATCAAGATCTAGAACTTCTCTATTTTTTTCATTCGTGTATAAAGAAAACAGATTTTCTTATGTCATTGCGAAGCACGTTGCACTAAATAGTTTCATATAAAAATTTTTCCTTCGTAACTTTTTTTTCAGAAATATGACAAAATATTAAAATATAATATTAATAGAATAGAATAGAATTAATAATTAATACTCAATAGAATTGAAAATGTATTTAAATAATTACTAAATAAAATTAAAATTTCGCAAAAGTAAACAAATATGTCAAAAATGACATTTTTTAATTTAATTTTTAAATACCATCTATCTTATTAAATAATATTAAAAAATATAGACGCATTTTTTCATGATGAAATATTTAAAAAATTTCTGCGCACTCTTCTCAGTATTTTTAATCAGTAAAAGGTCACGCATAGTTTTGATTACCTATATATAATTAGTGATATAAAAAGAAAGATTATTAAGTAAATAGAATTAAATTTTGATAAAAGTTAAAAAAAAATGTAAAATATTTAAACATTTCAAAAATATAAAATATTAAAACGTAAAAGATTAGAAGCTTATGAAAAAGCGAGGAGTGACTTAAGGGGGGAACACCAGTTGTAACTCAAAAAATAATGCTTTTTTCAAGAATATTTTCCAAAAGAACAATGAATCTTTTTAAAGAATACTATTTATTAGTTAAAAGTACATGTAAAAAGCTGTAATTTAAAAGAAAAAAAAAATTTTTTTAACAAAAACTTTTGGAGATATGAGCCATTGAAGTGGCGTCTTAAGAAAAAAGGCGAATTGCGGTGACCAGCATTCTGCAAGTATACTTCGTCTGAAATACAAAAATGAAATTGATTTACATTTATTATAAGATTATCTAGTTCGTGATCGAAGGATTTAAAAAAAAAAAAAAATTTGACAAAATGGCGACCTGTCAAAGTCAAAAGTATGATTTTCGTTAAAAAAATACGGTCGATTTTCAGCTATATAAAAAAAAGTTTTGATTAAAAAAAAAAATCCTTCGATCACGAACTAGACTTATATGTGTAAATGAAGCACACTAAATTTTAAATAAATCGGTTTAATGGTATTCGAGTAATCGTGGTCACCGACTTGGAAAATGTCATTTTGAGAAAAACGCATTAAAAGTTTCAACTTACTTTTTTTTGTTCAGAAGAAATTTTGTTTCTAAGTTACAAAGAGTCATCGATTCCTGGACCATATAATAACTCTTCCGCAGTGGTTGCCGTTTCTAAATCATAGGAAAAGGCCATCTGTCGTTAGGGTCAGGTATGGCTGGCCACCTTGTATGAAGCCACGGGACGCGCCGCTGCAGTGTTCTGTATATCTCATTTATTTTTCACCGGATCAACTTTGAAATTTACAGACACATTTCTAAATATGTATACTTTAAGAAAATGCACCAAAAAAAAAATCGATTTTTCGAAAGTTACAACTGGTGTTCCCCCCTTAAGTTTACATATACTTACATATTCTAAAATGACTCACGACATGTGTTTAAAAAAGTATGAATTCAAAACAATGTCTATAGTTTTACATATTTCAGTCACGCCACTTTTTAAAATTATCACTTTAAAGTCCATAAATAGTGCTTTTTCAATATTGGTTTTTCAACATTTTTTTTATCTGTTATATTCAGTTTATTGTTATAAAACGTTTCAAAAAAAAAAAAATTTTTTTGCAAACAAAATACATTCCTTTTTGCGTATTTATGAAATGAATTGTTAAATATTGAAAATTAGTATAGTGAAATCAGAAAAAATAAATTTTAAATTAATTTAAATAACAATAATTAACAAATTATTATCAATGTGTTAGAAAATAAATTAGAAATTTTTTTTTCCCTATAATCAATATGAGAAAACAATAAATATAATATGAACTATGATTAAACATACTTTAAAGCATAACTTATCGTATTCTTATTATATACGCATTTTAACTTATCTTGTCAGAGAATTTTTTTCTATAAATGATATTAATAAACCTCGTACTCTCTAATAATATTTCATATTAAAACATTTTTTTTTATTATTTTTAAATAAGTGACTGACTTTTAGAAATATGAATTCGTTAAATTATTATAAAATTAATTTTTAAAATAAATAATTTTTATAAAAATAGTTAAATTATTGTAAAATATAAACCAAATTCTATGACCCTGTTTTATTTTATTTTTTTCACTAAAAATTGTATTAAAATTTGATTATTATCAATAGGAAATTAGTTATTATTTCAACAAAAAAAACCACATTGCGTAAAGTAATAAAATGTGTACGAGTATTTCATTTTTATTTTAGAAAAAAATTTCAGAGAAAAAACAATGGATTTTATACAACATCCAGGTAAGAAAAACTGAAATGTAAATAAAAGCTTTATCGCTTTAAAAAAATAAACCTCGAATTTTAATATCTATTGATTACATAAAATACGCTTTTAAAAATTCTATTTTATTATTTATATAAATTATTAATTATTATTTTTTATTATTTTTATTTATTTCTTAATTAAACTTCAGCCTTTCGGCCCAGAAGTGGACTTGGTTTAATACAAAATTAAAAAAATTATTATTTTTTATTATTATTATTTTTTTTTTCTTTTAGATAGATTTATTTTCTCCATTGTGTAATTATTACAGTTTTACAATTACTTATTGTTCATATAAAATACACTTTTAAAAGTTCCTATAGAATGAAAAGGTTTTCATTCTAATGAAAATTTTTTTTCTCGCCCAGGAATTGTTATAGCATATTATTTAAAAGACTTTTAAAGTACTTCATATTGCAATATTAAATAAAAATTATCTTTTGGAGAAAAAAAAATTTTTTTTTTCTTTTTCTATAAAATGTGTATACAGATTGGGGCTTCTTTTGTGCGAACTAGAGCATTGCCAATAATAAAATCAACCGACCTTCAATATATTATATCGTACGAGTATATATACATATGTATATATTTCGAAGGTAACACGTAAGGTATTTGACCGAGTCACCGAGAAATGTTCTAGAAAATTGTATTTATACATATATACGTATATAGCAAAAACTTGTTATTGGTTTTTTTTAATATGGATCCTAATGGGTAATTACATATAAAAATTTTTTTATCATTAATATAGAAATTGAAAATATATTAATAAAATTTATTTAATTCCAAAATAATATATATTTTAAATCGGAAATAAATTGCGGAAAGAAACGTAAAGTTAATATTAATTAATATACTTAATCATTACGTGGAAATTTTTAATCGTTTTACAGTTGTCAGGAAGTGATATAGATTATTATTATTATTTTATTATTATTTTATTATTTTATTATTATTTTATTATTATTTTATTATTTTATTATTATTTTATTATTATTTTATTATTATTAATAATTCACATAATAATTTAAAAAGCTTATCAAAGATTTATATTGATTTTTATAATTATTTGGAAAATCATTACTTTACTTATTGACCTACCCCAGTATTTAGTTATGTCAGACAAGAAACGTCATTATGAATGACTCATGGATAATCTCGAGTAGAAAGGATGCATTAAACATTTTTTTCTTGCACAAACAAGAAGTAAACCTATACTACCACTCAATTAGCCTCTCTAAATAATCGAAATTAGTAGAAATGTTTTTTTTAACTAATTCGTATATCAAAAAAGTCAAATTAATTTTTTGAAATTTTATTATATAAACTACTTTGAGTCGTAATAAATGACGTATTATTTGATACATTTTTGATATTATAATAATATGAAAAAATATATCAGGTAAAATTCACGCTTAGAAAAAAAATATATTTATCTCAGAGCCAAATAAATATTCATTGTTTCATATATTATAAGTTTTAGATATTAATTTGCGCTAAATAATATTTTATTTCTGTTAAATAAATTTTTTTATTTAAAACCAATAGAAAGTTATTTACATCTGAGACAAATATATTTTTATTTGCTTCAAATAAACTTTATTTGTCCCAAATAAACGGCAATAAAAATATTTTTCTGGGTGTTCAAATTAAAAAATTTTTAATTAAGATCAAATTTTCAATTCTCAAACTTTAAAACTGAATGAGAATTGAATTTAACATAATTTAAAAATAATTCAAATTTGTAATAATTTCGAAGAATTTTAATTAAACGAAAAATTTATTTTCATTTTTATAGTTCAATTAAAATTTTGCTTCCATAAATTTTTATTTGTTTAAAAAAAACTATTCAGAATTAGTAAACTTAATTTCTTAGTTTAAAACACTTTTTTTTT